CAAACGTACGCATGTGTACACAATTTCAATTAACACTATTAGATAAGTACAGATAATATGATGTAAGCCCAGGTCCAACTAACACTCTAGCCGAGAACTACGCAGGCTTAACTTGTCAGAAATGATGTCACATGTGACCACTGGTATGATGGAGGTATTTCCAGTATTTTTTCTCAATCTTAAAAGCAAATGAAAAAAAATAGTTTTCCAAAATTTTATATATATTTTTATTCGAAGGAAAATGTATAAGGAATAATAAATTCTCCTTCCAATAGAATTTCTGAGGACAGACTTCCATTATTTCCCCATCCCCTTTTAATTCTTTCTTCCTCCCACCTACCAAGCATATCATCACCTGCCGCTTTCAGCCACCTGCACTTGTTTCGATGCCCTTGAACTTGAAAGAATTTACGAAGCTTATTTTTTTTATTTCTTTATTTCAGCCACAGTAAAGAAGAAAAATAAAAATGAGGGGCCCTCAGAAATATTTCTAGATAATTTATGCTTATATTATTGTAATTTTATTGCTTTAATTTGCTCACGTTGAGATACAAAATATATGATAAGGTCTTGAATTATCACAGAAGAGCGCGATAATATTTCGAGGTATATATTCTACCGAAATATTTTGAAAAATGAAAATTTATATATATCAAAGAGCACTATATCTTTCATAATGGGTATTATGAAAGTTAGGAAACTTGGAGAAAGAAAGTATTTATGATTGTTTCAACTTCGTAGTACGAAGTAAAAGTAAAGGGAGTATTGTAGTCGCGGAAAATTTCGGGTATCATATGTCTACGAAAATATCCATTTTAACCTCTCTTGAAACCATTTCACCAATGTCTTCGTGTGAAATTTGTAGGTATGGAAAGAATAAAGGAATGTGTTTTCTATTTCGCATAACTCAAAAACGAGTAGTCTTAAAACGTTGAAATTTTGTATATGGGCCTGCTACAACATGTAGTTGAGCTCATCGCGTTTTGTCACAATCGGCCGCACCAGACGTATATAAATATACACTGGTGTGCAAATATTAAGGACGAGACGGTTTTTTCAATATAACTTTGTACAAAAGATTTCCAAATCAACAAATTTAATACCGTAAGATCCCCTATACGTAAGGACATGAGTAATGTAAGCAACACTTACTAAAAGAAAAATCTGAGGGATAAAAAGAAGCTTTATTGAAAAAGTAGCATGGAGCGCGATGCGACTGAAGGCCGAAACATCCCTGTGATGGGTGTCCAGCAAGAAACATCCGGTCTTCAATAGGGAATATGATCTTCCCTGACTGCTAGGCAGGTTTCACAGCGTCTGCCCATGCTGAGAATGAGGGTGTCAATGAGTTGTTGAGGCATTGCTACCCATTCGTCTTGCAGCGCCAATCGAAGCTCCGGAATCGTTACTGGTGGTAAGGTACGAGCTGCCAAGCGTCTGCCTAAGAAAATCCCATACATGCTCGATGGGATTGAGATCCGGAGATCGTGCCGGCCAATCCATACGTTCAATATCCTCACTCTCTAAGAACTGTTCGGCAGCTACTGTGCGATGACATGGTGCATTGTCGTCCATGAAAAGGAACTATGGACCCATAGCGCCTCTAAAAAGACGCACATATGGAAGAAGAATCTTGTTACAATAACGGGTCCCGTTGACTGAACCTGCGTCGAAGTTGTGAAGGTCTGTACGACTACCAAGCATGATGCCTCCCCAAACGAGAAAACTGCCACCTCCATACCTGTCCCTTTCAATGATGTTCGAGGGATGATTGCGGCTTCCCCGCTCTCTCCAGATGAGTATGCGATGAGAATCGCTACTCAGAGTGAATCTGCTCTCATCTGTAAAGAGTACTCCTCCCCATTCATTGTCTCTCCAATTCCGGTGTTCCCGGCACCACAGAAAACGCCTTCTCCAATGGGCAGGCGTTAGAGGTACACACCGTACAGGGCGTCGTGCAAACAGACCACCCCCGTGCAGTCTTCTGGCCACGGTAAAACGCGACATCGGTCGTCCAGTCGCCTGTGTCGTGCGTCTAGCGATTTCTGCCGCTGTCTGCCGCCTGTTTCTTCTGGCCTGTAAGGCAATATACCGGTCATCTGCGGGTGGGGTTCCTCGTGGACGACCACTACTAAACCCCCGGATAGCTGTTCCTGTAGTTTGAAATTGTCTCCAAAGTCGTGAAACGATGCTGTGAGCAATTCCGAACTCTGAAGCCACACTTGTCACACTGCGGCCTTCCTCCAACTTCCCAATGATTCGACCTCGGGTAAAAGCATCCAGATGTCGTCTAACAGATTGATTATTGGCCATTTCTCGCTGAGGAAGCAACTCGGTGTGATTTGAACTGCTATACGGCGTGCAATCTCTTTGCCAGAAATACTGATCTTACACCGACAACATGCTTTATACTACTCAGACACTCCCCCATTACGTCTACCTGCATATCTGCGCATGTGCTACCGTACATCACCTTACTTAATCTCCTGATTGGTCTTTCTGTCCGCTCTGCCTCTTCGTTCAGCTGATATGCTAATTTTTCGACTTCGTCCTTAATTTTTGCACACCAGTGTATATATATATTGTCACTCTGTTACCCGTCTAGGTCAGCTCAGTTCTTTTTCTTATATGTTGGTTAATGATGCCATTTTTGCTTTAAAAGGGAACTGAATTATTGTTCTTATGTTCCAATTAAGACTTTTAGGCCTTTAGTTAATCTGTATGCACTAGTTGTATAATTATTATCAGTTTAAAAGTTTAAGTAGACGAGTTTACCTTACGAGTTTAAGTAGCCTAATGAAGCCGCCATTTGTTTACATCTCACACTCTTAGTAGACTAGTGAATTAAATCAGTTGATGCACCAATTTCAGTGTCTTTTTGCCCAGTGTGACCAAAAGTTAACTTGCAGTTTTGTGCATTCATTTTTTTTCCTATCTGTATATGGTGTTTTAGGGTTTTCTATATTTTTACAATTTTTAATGAAGGTTGAGTTTTTAGTTATTTATGCCTTGCCGCGAAGTGGGATCTGAATTGATTGAATTAGAAATATATCTTTAAAGAAATTCGAGGAAATAAGTTTTAATGAAGTTCAGCAAAAAATGTGTATAACTTAATTAGGCCGTATAAGGAAGTCCTGTGGTCTTGCCCATCAGATTTTTTTCTATTGTACACTGAATAAAGATCTTATTATAGAAGTGTTAAAGCCGTGTTTCTCAAATTGTAAACTGTTCGTGAACTTTTAGAGGTCTGAAAGTTTTCTGAGGGAGGAAAAAAAAACGTAATAATGTTCAGAATAAAACAATTAATCAAAATGCTTTATCCGTTAAAATTTCTGTCAATGTGATGCTGAAGTCCGATTAGAATTCCTTAATAAGTCAAGTGCAGTTTAAAGTAATTAGAAAGAAACACAAAAATGGCTGGAGAATTAATTTTTGTAAAATTTGCAAACTTGGTAGTTCTACTCTCATTGCTTAGAGAGAGGCGAAAGACGACCACTGTATCGAGATTTAATAGCATGGCAAGATAGAATGGATTATGTAAGAAAACAGATTCTAAAAATACACTTTTTATAATAATATCTAACATTCACTACTGTAAAAATAAAAAAGTGTATAGCTTTCTTTCTTTATTTTGAAATTGAACTGGTCGGAATAATTTTTCTTTCAAGTTTTGAATTTGCATTTTACGTTGTTGGCGAAGCGGCAAACTAAAAAGACATCTACGCAGTGGCATAAGGATATATAGTCCACATCACCCTTAATCTATGCCTTTTGTAATCTTTTTATGATATATTTCTAAAATAAATATTTAAAGGCACATTTTGAGTTATTATGATAGGAAGAAATTTCCTTCTATGCTACACTAGTTAATTTCAAGAAAAAGCACATTCCACTACATGAAATGTAGAAATGTATAATTTCACTACTTTTGTTTTGTTTATATTATCTGACTTTTATTTTGTTTTGACTTTTATTTTAAAATGATGAACAAAAGCATTAAACTGGTATATCGCTTGAAATGAAATAATTCTTTATTAAATGAAACCTACGATTTTCAATATTATTAAATAAAATTTGAATCCGTAATCGAGTAAGGAAATTTGATTCAAGTTTATTAATGTTTTTCTGATATTCATTTTGCCCTTTGGTTTATCAAAATTCAAGAAAATTAAAATAATATATTGCCAGTTTAGAAATTTTAGCCTGTTATGCATTTCTTGTATCTGTAATTTTTATGGCAACGCTGGACAATGGATTTGTCAAGGAGATGAATAAAAATTAGAAATTCTGTGAAAGAAAAAAATATCTTTTTCTGTCGATTAAGAAATTAAAGAAGTTAAAACTTCTTTGTGATAAACGATGATTCAGGTTTCTTACAGGTAATAAATTTTTCAGCTTAGTTTTCTACCAACGTGCATATTAATTTATTCTGCATTAATTAACAGGATGCAATAATTAATTAATGTATTAAAAAACTGGTGGATTCCTTCAAGAATTTTCTAGCTAAAACCCCGACTTCTTTCTTTTAGAAAATTTGCAATGCTCTCCTCAACTTGCATTAGTTCAATGGAAGAATTAATATCCGAAATGCAAATTAATAATGAGTTAATTAAACGGTGATAAAATATATATGAGAGCATATTAGTTAGCCTTCTGTCTTTTGAAATATTGTATGCAAATATTCACTGTATTGAGAATTCTTGTTTATTAAATTTTTGCGGTATCTCTAAACTGACGAGCGTGTTTTACACTGTGTGAAGATTATTGCTGAAAGAACTGAATTTTTAGTTTTTTTAGCCTATTCCAATGAGCTATCAAAGACATTAGTTATTCCTTCTAAATTGACTCAAAAGCGTCTTGGAATGAGGACATTATAATTAGCAGCTAACTTTCAAAGAAAGAGTTGTATAATACTCACAAGCTTAAATTTGAATTTTAGAGTAAGTGGTACTTTTCCCTTTTCCTTATTTTTATATTAGACGTAAATTTTTCTTTCGTAGAGGAACCTTTGAATGACTACGGACCAGGAATTGGAACTGCAGAGTGCTGTGGATTCCTTCTCAACGTACGAAGAATACTTAGATTCTTTGCTCACTAACGATGACCTAAATTTCTTGCAGGTAATCAACCTTTCATACTGTGTCTAAAAATTTACATTTATTTAATAATGTACATATGAACATATTCTGAAATTAACTTACAAGCCACATTAACTTACTAAATGTAAACCTGATGTTTGTCATAGTATTCGGAAGAGGTGTGAGAGATAGATTTAGGAAATTTTAGTTCTCGAAGAATGATTGACTGTAACATACCTGCATTGTTGCATTATGTAAGAATGTATGAAACGGATTAAACGGAGCATGAAACGGTCATTTTGAGATGATGTACTTTAGATTGATATATTGTATGCAGTTATTATATTCAGGTCAGGAAGTTAAAGTGCTCAAATTGAAATAAAGGATAAAAGGTGGTTTGCTAACTAAAATTAGAACTTTTCTTTCATATTTTTTGTTACATATCTCACCCTTCAAAAAGAAAAGTGCTTAAGATAGCAAAGCCTTTTTGAGATTACACAAATTAGGTCAGCAAAATATGATTTTGAATATACAAAACAAAATTTTGAACAAAGTAATTTTTAAATAATTTCAAAAAATAAATCGTACAATTTTTAATTCAATAATAATTTAAAAAATAATATGGAACATAAATTTTGAGAACTATATTTCTTAGAATAAACGCAATTTTTAGAGCAGTATTATTCAAGATGCAGTCTAAATTTAGAAAAGTTCTTGATTTTGGGAAACGACTTCGTTTAATAATAATTCTTCGGGGAAGGATTATTATTAAACGTGATTAATTATCTCAAATTTCAAAATTTTATAACATAACTAATATTCGTATTTATATTTGTATTTACACATCATTTGTACTAGTATTACTGAAATTATGGTTTTTGTTGTGATTATTACATTTCTAATTTTCTTATTTTATACAATTTGGAAGACCACGCAGTTTTCTTCAGACACAAACATGTTCATCAACTGGACATATTCACTTTGGCTGACTGGGGTATTCTGTAGCAGTGGGTCAAGGCATGTTTAGTGCCTACTTGAAAAGGCCTCTGTTTTTCACTTAAGGTAAATGGGCAATTTGTTTACTGAGCCACATACTTGAATTTTGTTCAATTTTGCTAAGCAGTTAATTACACATAGGGAAATTAATGACATTTAAGATTGATGATCACAGCTAATTTTGGATATCAAAAGTGAAGTGTACGACCGGACATAAAGAAGTTGAAAACACTTCTTGTAAACACAAATTACTGGCAATACTAAAGCTTTTAACCACTTTCGAGATTATTCGCAAGACTCCAGATAAGGTTTGAAGCACTGCTGGTTAACAGCATGTTTAAAGTACTTGTGAAATCGCGGGAGATCGCACAGTACATTTTCTTTCTCATTTTTAGATACTTGGCAGAACGCGAGAGATGTTTCAAAAGACATGCAGAAAATAAACTGATGCACATGGCAAAGATTTGATCCTGTCGGCTCATTGTAACAGATTGCAGAGGTAGCTGCGTCATCAGAATGATACCTCGTTAACGTAACTTGGACATGTTCGTGACATCGTACATAGAAGATTGATGCATAGAAAGGCAGAGATTTGCAGAGACGAATTTAAATAAAATTTTCTTTATGTTCCAGAATGTAACAAACTGTGATAGATTAGGTAAAGAGATGTAGTTGGAATTGGAGAGCTTAGGTATAATGATGAAACTTGCAGACAAACGAAACGGTAGATAAGACATAAATTATTGCTTGATTTTGAAACACATTATCTTATTCACACATCCTCATGGGCGCAATACGTATCCAGTCATCATAACATTCTTCCAAATGTACTCCATCTTGCATAAATGTTATACTATTGAATAACTAACTTGTTTCTTATTGTAAGAAGGGAATGATCCTGTCTCTCAAGGTGTCTGCCGAAAACATCACGGCAAAAACAACGCCGGCGAAAACGTCGTGGAGAACACAACGCAAGGCGAAAACGTCGTGGTAACAAAACATCGCGAAGGAAAATAAAGTAAAGAGAAAACATCGCAGTTTTAAAAAATCGTGGTACAAAATATCATCATCGAAAACAAAGCGCTTAAAAAACTTCGAAGTTTAAAAACATCGTCGTCGAAAATATCTTGGTAAAATATTAAGAACCTACAAATTATCGTATGACTATAGCATCGCTAATATACGTTTTCTGGCTTTAATAATTGTAAATGGATATTTTCACATAATGATTGTGAGCGCAAGATGGAAAGAAGGACAATTTTTTACTTTAAAATTTTTTTATTAACTAATAAATATTTGCAAAAAATGTAAAATGGAAACATAAGCACAGAAAATTAATGCAACCTTTAGCACTTAATAGAATTTTAAACTGAGAGAGTTAACTAACAAAGGTCATTAATAAATAATTTTTTATTAAGTTTTTCATGAAAAGCATAATCTAAGAATGAATAGAAAAAGAAATTTAAGTAACCGCATGACCGTATTTATAAAAATTGCTATGTTAATTATGAGATTATTTTCTTCACTTTTGTTGTTCTGATATTCTTATAGTTAAAATTATTTCTTGTTTTCTTTAAATTTATTTTTCTGTTTTCTTAAAAATTTATTAGTTAATAAAAAATATGAAAGTAAAAAATTATCCTTCTTTCCATTTTGCGCTCACAAATGATTATGCACAAGAACTGTCCATTTACAGTTATTAAAGCCTGAAAAGGGCATGTCTGCGATATTATCGTCATGCGATGATTTGTAGGTACCTTATTTGTTACCACGATATTTTAGATTACGAGTTTTTAAACTGCGAAGTTTTTGAACAGCTTTATTTTCGACGACGATATTTTGTATCACGATGTTTTCCTTTGCTTTATTTTCTCCTACGATGTTTTGTATCACAATGTTTTCGCTTTGCGATTTTTTCTCCACGACGTTTTCGTTCGCGATGTTTTTCGTCTGTAACCGTCTTTTAAAGGCTCTGCATATGGCTCGTCTGTGTTAAAAATAGTTCGAAATATATACAGTTGTAAGTTTCCTCCAAAGAAAAGAACCTATAATGAATGATTCAGCCTGCATTACACCGTAATTTTGGCAGTGAATTTTCCATAGTGCCATGTGGTTGGTTTACCCTCGAGTGCGTTAGTGTGTTCCATTAAGCAAAAAGTGCGCCTCATCAATTCATAGGACATTTGCCAGTACGCATCATTTTCTTTCTGTTGAAAAGCTCAGTTCGCAAATTTATGATGTCTCACGAAATCGGTTAGTTAGAATTCATACATGTGCTGGATATCGTAAAGATATATGTTGAGGATGATTCTGAGTGCTGTTGTACAGTGTCGTACGAAATTCTAGCTCTCTGGTATCTACAGCACTATCTGTGGGTGAAAAATGTAACTATTCTAGCAACAAAATTTTCACTATTAAGAAAAATCCATATATTTCTGTGCATTTTTCTGAAATTCGATTGTCTGTATAAGTAATTGAATTTTTACTTATTCTCTTACTTTGCGATTATATTATATATATGTATATATATATATATATATATACGTGTGTGTGTGTAAAATTAAGAAATTAAATATTTCTTAACATAGAAATTACTTAAAATTTCTCAAGTCGAGCTGAAATTTCCCTAAATGAGTTAAATGACAGTTGAAAATTTCGGAAATGTTTTCTTAAAACATTTCAGTAACATATATCTACATCATGCATATATTAAACAATAAATATAGCTACAAAGTGTGCATGAAAGTTTTTTTTGTTTTGGATTTACAAATCAACTTTATGGCTTGTTCACTGACTTGTTTTATGTGTCTTTTTACCCCTCCACTTTCTGTTTTGCAATAATTTGAGTGAAATGCGCAAAAGTAGTTTCTGAAGCTCACTGTTAAATACGTACACACATAAATGATATACTCTGTACTTATTTGGGTTTTTCATTGAGGATTCTAAATAATGAAGCTTGTGTAATTGTTGTGTCAGTTTATGCGTTATGCAGGGACAGCAGACTAGCTTCAAAGTGAAAAGTTTATGTGTTCATCTAGATCCAGATGCGTGGTTCATATCCAAGTGTCATCAACCTGAAAAATATTTTGATGAAGAAGTTACATACGTGACTGTCTGCAGTGACCAGAGATAATCTAATTTTTGTCTTATCTATGCCTGAAAGCATTTTACTATATTTTTTCCCTCCAACAAAATATAAGAAAAAAAATTGTTAAGTGAGCAAGGTCGGGATAATTTAAGACCATAATCTTTGCTTTTCCCACGTTTCCGACTCAATGCGTTCTATTCTGTGAAACGTCACGTTTTCCTATCGCTGAGTTAATGAACGATTGCCATTCTACCATTTGGAATTTCTGCTAAAAAACTTGACGATAAATAAAGCAACAAACATGACGTAATGACACTCCGACTACTAAAGTTCTGTGGAGAAGCTGAAGTGCCACTTTTGAGTGAAGGTTTCAAAGTATTTGATGTTGCCAAGCTTAGATCAGCAAGGTAAAAAACAAAGGTAAAAAAAGCAGCATAAAAGAAAATACGAGAAAATGTTATCGTGGCTCTTGCAGGTGGTCAAATTACCTCAGGCTAAAGGAATACCTTGTGGGGGAATGGAATTTTTTTCCCATGGCCTAAGTGGAATTTGTAATTCCCTCCCCTACTCTCTTTGTGTGGTGTTTAAGTAAATGACAATGCAGCTTTTTCTTTTCTTTTTTTTGGGGGGGGGCAGGCCTTGGATACCTAAATGAAAGAAGCAGAGATTTTGTTATGCAAAACTACATTCTTTCCTTTATCAGATTTGAAAATTATGACAATACTCTTTAACAATACATTTATTCTGAAAATTCTCGTATCTGAATAACTACTTTCACCTAATTTATACGTAATGGATAATAAATTAACCATTATTAAAAACACGCTATTCTGTATTTTAATGAAAGGATGTAGAGAAGCCTAACCAGTAATTTTTAAAATAATAAATGCGTTATTTTTCTCCAATTTCAATTATCAAGTGGAGCGCAGGATTTTAGTCTCACCGACTTCGCCTATAT